GGCAGTAGAAGGTATTTATGTACCAGATATGCTAAACATTCCAGAGGACATGCTTCCATGCTGATGATGCTCGTTAAAAAAATAATGCGTTAATTAAAATTTTGACTGAACTCTTTGGGGGAGAATAGTAGGTCTCCAGCTCTGTTTTACCTGCATTCTGCCATGTATTTCATATTACAGCAGTCTCCGATGATGACCCAGTACATGTTGTTCATTTTAAGAACACTTTCACTGTAGATCTGACAAAACGCAAAGAAGGTACCAATGTGAGATTTCTAAAGATAGCTACAGCACTCATCCCAAGGTTTAAGAATCTGAAGTGCCTTCCAAATTGTGATTGGTATGGGGTGTGAAGCATGCTTTCAGAAGTCTTAAAAGAGCAACACTCTGATGTGGAAACTACAGAACCCGAACCACCATAAAAGAAAATTGACCTTCTGCTGGTGGCATCTGACTCAGATGATGAAAGTGAACACACATTGGTCTGCACTGCTTTGGATAGTTATTGAGCTGACCCTGTCATCAGCATGGGTGCATGTCCTCTGGAATGGTGGTTGAAGCATAAAGGGACATATGAATCTTTAGTGTATCTGGCACATAAATATCTTGCAACACTGGTTACAACAGTGCATGCGAATGCCTGTTCTCACTTTCAGGTGATATTGTAAACAAGAAGCCAGCAGCATTATCTCCTGCAAATGTAAACAAACTTGTTTGTCTGAGTGACTGGCTGAACAAGAAGTAGGACTGAATGGATTTGTAGGCGCTAAAATTTTACATTGTTTTGTTTTTGAATGCACATATTTTTTGTACATAATTCTACATTTGTAAGTTCAACTTTAATGATAAAGAGGTTGCATTACAATACTTGTATGAGGTGAATTGAAAAATACTATTTATTTTGTTTTTTTACAGCACAAATATTTGTAATAAAATGAAGTGAGCACTGCACACTTTGTATTCTGTGTTGTAATTGAAATCAATATATTTGAAAATGTAGAAAACATCCAAAAATATTTAAATAAATAGTATTCTATTATTGCTTAAAAGCGGGATTACTTTTTTTAATCGCTTGACAGCCCTACTGTAAGTGTTATTATCTTCAATGAAGAAGTGTTACCTGCACCTAAAACAATTCTTGTTTTCCTTTAATATCTTCTAAATATTAGCTTGTAATAGTCTCTTATTTGTTTGTTATCCCAACTTTCTTTTTCTTTTCTTTTGGTGTTTCAGTCAGTCTGTTGCTAAAATGGTAAACATGTTTTGAGTGCTAACTTTTATAAAATGAATTAACCAGAGCCGTAAGTAAGCATTTTAGCACCCGGGGTGAGCAAGCATATTTGTGCCCCTTAGAGGCAACATGTGGGAGGGGCATGTGGGGTCATGTTGTTACCCTAAAATTTAGATGCTAATTGAATTACCTACAAATTTGTCTAATTTTAACAGAAGGGTAAATAAGGTTGTGGCCTGCTCTAAAGGAATTACCAGGATGTTACCAGGGGGGCTTGTCTCTGACCTGCAGAGGGCTCTCCAGAGCACCTGAAAGGACACGGATACAGCCTTCCGAACAAGAATGAACAAACAAGCAGTAATTCTTCGAAAACAAAAGAATGGTTTATTTAAAGAAATAAATTATTACACTGTATTTAGGAAAGCAAGAAAGAAGGTATGAAGAACAGAGTAAAATGCAATAGAATTACAATTGAAATAATTAAAGTGAGGCAGCAAAATCCAAGACACAGACTACATAGGATATCTAACACATGCAGGAAATACAAAGCTTTCAATGTAACAAGCCTATAGCGGTCCCATACACCCAGAGGCCTTTAGTCTTAATGTTACAATTTAACCCCATATTCAATACAATGTGATATATGCCAGGCTCTTATAGGCGCAAATGAGAAAACTAACACTATATTCACAGATTAAAACACTTGCTTAGCATTGAACATCCTGTAAGCGCTGGCCAGGCGGTTACAAGATGGGTAGGGGAGATGTCATTCAAGACGCAGGCATCAAGTTTTATTTACAGGCAAAACCTATACACTCTTAAATAATAGATAAAAAGGAAATCAGACTTACACTCTTCCTTCAAGTTTCCCTCTGATTCGTCAAGGGGTCCTTCTGCTCTGTCTGAAATATTTAGGCAGCATGGTTGTGCTGCTGCCCCATGGTGGTGGCAGTGGTGATTGCTGTTGGTGGGGCTGTTGCTGGCAGCCAGTTCTCCGTTGCCAAGGCAACCTCAGGATTCTTTTGCTGCTGCTGCTGTTCTCCTTCTTGCAGGTGGCTAATTTTCAGGTAGCTTCTTCTTTGCAGATGTCTCGCAGCTTCTGTTCTCCTCCAGATCCCAAAGCCACTACAAATTCAGCCTGCTAGCTGTCAGCCTTATATATTGGTTGCACTCTCAAGGTCATCTCATAAACATAATTTATTAGCCTAACTCAGCCAATCAGTTTTTAGATATTAGCATATTTCCTCTTCCTGTCTAAATCCTCCACTTTTATTAGCATGCTGTCATATGTAATTAGCATGCTGTCAATCTAGGAGTGCTCCTCCCCTGATGCCATCTTGGAATCTAGGATTTTGCTGAATCATTCCCCATTACTACATCATCTGCCATCTTGGTTACCAACCACTATTGGATTTTCTAAATTTAAACTATCATTAATTTCTATTTATTTAAAGCCTTAATCTTACAACTAATTACTGTTTTATGCAAACCAAAGTGTCCTGATACTGTCACCACTCTTTTTATGTCCAATTGAGAGAAATATAATTTTATGAAATTTTAAACTCCTTCCGAGGTTTTTCTGCAAACCTCCATTCAAAACATTCAAGGCAAAAATCTCTCACTACAACGTGTCCCTCCAGATTTCTGCCTTCCAGTTAACACAAAACTGGCAAATTGGAAGCTGGTGGGAGCCGCCCAGCCTGCTCGGGCCCCTGGCTCTCTGCACTATGGAAGCCTGGGCGTGGGCTGGCTGCCCAGCAGTTCTCCTTGCCCTGCTCCCCAAGCACTCCTCAACTCACTTGGTGTCTTGGTTACCCTACCCCAGATGTGCTCTTGCCTCTCCCCGAAAGGAGCCCAGCACTGGCTGGTGCCACCACCTGGAGCCAGCCTCTGCCCATAGAGTCTGGCTGTCTACAGGGTGCAATGCCGGCAGGTACGCTCTAGGTGGTGGCCTGGCTTGGGGAGCAGGGTAGGGAGGGCTGCCAGGCAGCCTGCTCACGTCCATGCTCCCACAGCACAGAGAGCCAGGGGCCTGAGTGGCCCCACCCACTTCCAATCCACTGGCTCCTGGTAGAAGATGACAGCATTCGAACTGGTGGGGGGACATCCCCCTGCCCCGTTTTAAAAATCTCTGTGCTAAATGGAATGCAGAAATCTGGGGGGACATGTGACCCCATGGGCTCCCTCTACGCCACCCCATTTCTTCTGCTCCCAAGGCTTCACGCCCTGGATGACTGCCCTGCATGCCCCGTCCTGGTTATGGCCCCGGAATTACCATCTTGAAGAAGTCATTACATCACTATTTTCAATGGTGCAGATCCACAAATGTATTTAGGCTCCTAATTTCCATCTGCTTTTCTATTACAACCACAAGGAAACACTTATCTGTGGTTTCTAAAGTTGAAAACTGCCATCTGACAGACATCTGGTGCCAAGCATAGCAGCTCCTATACAACCTCAAGACTGTTGAAAATGGTGTGGACAGGGTGAACCAGCTGCAGCACAGATTGTCTTGTAGCACCCTTTACTCCAATGTTGAACCCAACTGACACTGTCCAGTAGGACAGCAGTTTCCAGCACTGGCTGTGGGGATGGAGGGAGAAGGAGACAACCCTCATTGAACACATGTTTTTCAAGTGTAGGCACAATTAGGGGGCTCTAATTATTAGAATCACGGGGTTCTAAAATTAAAGAGCTAAGGAGAGTTATCCTTTTCTTTAGCATGGACCTGACACACATACACAGACCGTGCAGAGCTTACCCCATAGCGTAAATGGTAGAGATTAAAATGCTTCATGGTCACTGGCCTACCCTGTGCTAAAAATGTTTTAACTCTGCCCTTCTGTCGGGAAATGTTTGAACTATTTTTTTTTCTGTGTTCTGAACTCCATCTGTGCTGCCTGCTCTTTTATTTCAGAGAAGGCAGAAAGGAAAAGTTCGCCCTCCTGCTGTCCTCTTCCCTTGCTCATTGGTCCAATTAACCACAATGTAGAACATGGCAGAAGCAGGGGATCTGACTTTGCCGCCAAGCTGGATTTGGCAACTTTCCAAGGGCTGCACTTTTTCTTTTTCCATACAAAAGGAGTATGTCACCGCTGTCTTCACTTTTCATATGAGAATAAGACTCTAAAGTATTAAAGGTCTCAGTATGCCGTGTTCCATTTTGTTTGGAGTATCCAGGCTGCCACATTGCTCTTTTGGACATATAGTTCCTCTTTGTTAAGGCAGATTGGGTCCCACTTTGGCTGCACAATGCAGGCAGTCACAACAATGATTCTTCCCACAGATGCCTGAAAGGCCAGTCAGAAGGAGCTAGCTAGAAGTCATAGGCCTGCAGCCCAGTGGCACCCAAAGACTCTGTGGCACTCCATTTCGAGAAAAGCAACAGAGAGTCCTGTGGCTCCTTTAAGACTAACAGATGTATTGGAGCATAAGCTTTCGTGGGTGAATGCCCACTTCGTGGGATGCACAGGACTCTCTGTTGCTTTTTACAGATCCTGACTAACAGGACTACCCCTCTGATACTTGACTCCATTTCGAGAGTGGCACCAGCTGGGACAGGTGATAACAATGAGAGTCAGGACTCTATGTTGTTTTGAAAAGAGGGAGGTTTTATGAAAATAATAAGGGAGACTTTTAATGAGCAAAATTCCGGATAGATTAATAGAACAGAACTTCTTTGCACACTGGCCTGAGGCATGCACACCTGCGTGCACACACACCCCGTCCGCGGCATGCACACCTGCGGACACACCCAACCCCAGGCACGCACACCTCGCCTGAGACATGCACGCCCAGCGTAAGGCTCGCACACCCAACCCCGGGCGTGCACCCCCGCCCCAGGCACGCGCACCCACTCTCAGGCACGCGCACGCGCCTGCGCCTATCTTCCCCTCAGCTGGAGACACCTGCCCCGCTGGGAAGCCCCTTGTCGCGCGTACCCGCGCTCACCTGTACCGGCACCTGGGACCACGCTGCCCCGGGGCGGGACGCCCCCTTCCTGTGGCTCGGGCCGCTGTCGCTTAGCTGGGATCTGGGCGGCAGCCGCAGTTGCAGGAGGAGGAGCAGCTGGAGCTCTCCTGCAGCGGGTGCGTGAGGGGTCGGCTGCCCCAGAGAGCCGGAGAGACAAAGCCCGGCGTGGGCGGCTCGGGGCTGCCGGTGCCGCGGACCCCCGCTACCCCAGAGGTAATGTGCGGCCGCTCGCCCTCCTCCGCCTCTCGCTGTCTTCCCCTGCAGCTGCCTCTCCCCCCCCCCCAGCCCCTCTTCAGGCTCCCTTTACCCCACCCGCCCCTTTGTCCTTGTGACTCCTCTTCGCATCCCGCCCGCGGGGGCTCCGAGTCAGGAAGGTGCGCAGGGGCCGTTAGGAGAGTTGAGGGGTTAGCTGCAGCTGTTGCTGTGTGGTTGGGGGACCCGGAGACACTGTCCTGTGAGGGGCTGAAGTGCCCGCGATGGTCCAGCAGCACGTGCGTCTAGTGCAGTCTGGTTCTGGATCCCTTGCAGGGTTCTCTTCCAGTAGCAAAGGTGGGCAGCCAAAGCGGGTGGGGTAGGGAGTTGGGACCCTGGGAAAATGACACCGCCGTTGGCTCGTCCTCACCGCTCTGTGATTGTACGTGTAGCCGCCACTGTTACTGTAGGGGAGAAGAATCATGCTCACCTGGAAAATATTTTTTAGCGTGTAGTGATTGAGTGCTGACCTGAGGGGAAATAATGCGCCGAGTTAGCAGACAGGAGGTTTATTTTGGTCTCAGAAGTGCAAGTATGTATTTTTACTTCTTGATAAGATAAAGGGGATGGGAAAATCCCCTTACCTGTTCTACATATAAAATGACAGCTTCAGGACAGAAACCCTGTCACTCTCTCACTGAAAACTACATTGAAAATAAAAGCAGTTACATGTCTCTTATGACCTGAAGAAGAGCTCTGTGTGGCTCCAAAGCTTCTCTCTCACCAACAGAAGTTGGTTTGATAAGTTATTACCTCACCCCCCCTTGTCTCTCTCAAGATCAGTCAATTTTATAGTTTTTAGTGTTGGCTCATTTTGTAGATAAAATTATAGCTAAATTTAAACTAATATATAGTTTAAACAGTTAGTTTTGGCTAAAGCCAACTGTTTTAGTAAATCTTTATTGCAGATATCCGATGACTAAGAGAATGGCAAGGATATAGGGAATCTTTGATCTTTAGGTTTCTGCTTCAAAAATAGACACTGACAGTAATTAAATTGGTTCCTGCTGACAGCTTTTTTTAAGTTAATGGGACTTGGTCCATCCACTGTTTAGTGGCTTTGTCTAGATTACAATTTGCTTTCTTTTTTGCTGTACACAAACTAAGGATATAGTGGGCATGGTGACTGAACAATCCCATCATTTAGAGAGCGTCACACCAGAATGAGATTGAGGCTTATGGGTAGGGCAGTGGTAAAGCATATATTATCCATCTTGCAACTAAAGTTTTCCATTTATCCAACCATTCTCTTTCATTACACTTAAACTAAAATGAATAGTGCAATAACAACATAGAAATGTTTTTGCCCTCTTATGTTACTCGGATATATAAAGATGAACCTATAAACTGTTTTCTATACACCTTTTTTGTAGCAGAAAAATTGAAAACTAAGGCATTGATCCTGCAGTGAGCTCCACGCACACAAACCTCCATTGATTTCACTGGGGTTCCATGTGGATGTCCATATGGTGATCAGGCACTAAATAATTTCAGTTGCTTTCTGTGTTCGTACTCTTACGCAAATATAAAGTAGCAAAAGCTTATAGGGAGCAATGTACATAGGAAAGTAGCTAAGTGCAGCCAGGCTGTCTTCCTTTCAGGGGTTTGAGGAGTTTGTGACTTATGCTTCTTTAGAACATCCTAAATATTTAGGTACCTAGTCCAAACATGCAGTAATGCTCATTAATGCTATTGAATGAAGAGCAACCAAACTAGTTTAGGTGAGTGTTAGAGAATTTTGCCTTCTATTCTTCTACAGTTGCTCTAGTTTAACCATACTATTTGCATGATTTTTTCAGTTCTCAAAAGGATGCATCATTCCATCCAGTATGAAGATCATCAAAGTATGAAAGCCCATTCAGTACCTCAACATCACATGAAAGTATTTCTAGACTCATTAAGTAATCAAGGACCAGAAGAAGTACAGCAGTTTGTGCATTCTCCAATCTCGGTATACCAACAAGGAAATCATTATATATACATGGGCAGCACCGATGTAACAGGGCCTTTGTTAGAGTTAGTGCATCCAGTTACATCTCCTCTCCAACATCCAGCACTAAGCTACTGTGGACCACTGGAGCAGCAGCATATTCAAGTGTGCCATACACCGCCTCAACAAGGCCATCAAATAGAAATGCAGCAAAATCATTTGTTCAAACAAGTACAACTGCAGATAGACGCTCAGCCCTCCCCTGAAGGGCAATTTAATACATCAACCTCTGTATGTGAAAGAAGACTGTCATGTATTTCTCAACCTATGAAGAAAAGGAAAATTGACATGTCAGTAGAAGAGAACTACAGTAATAGTCAAGGTGCTCTGCAGAATATACCTATTACTGTACTAACAATGCCTACCAGTACCCAACAGCAGGCTTACAATTCTCTTCAAGAACTGCTAACAGTAGATAGCAATCAACTGTATGGGCTTGCACCTGCTACAGGAACAAATGGTCATCTGCCAGATGTAGAATCATGGGCAGTTTGTCCTACTCATGCAATTTACCCTGAAGCTCAGAATATGGTGAATACCCCTGTTTATCGGGATGCCTGTGGTATTATTCAGATCGGTGAAATGGCTATGAATATGACTAGCATTAAGTTAGAAGAAAGCAAGGATAATATTCAATCTGTTTCAGAAGCTAGAAAGAGTATTCAGGAGAGTCCTGTTCCTAGCACACCCTGTTTCCCAGTGCAGTGTGTAAATAAGAATGGAAATATGCACCTTCCTCTCACTGTACAGAGTGGAAAGAGGATGTATCAATCAGCTGAATACCGGGATGAACAACAGATGCAGGTAAGCACAAATATGAAGCTCTGTGGTGGGATGTGTGTTTGTGACTTCTCTGGGTCCAATCCTAGACCTTTCTGCTTCTCCAAGATGGGTTTCCTATTACACGTATTAACTCCTTCTCAGGTGAAGGTGAGTTCAGGTGGGATTATGTATCGAGACCAAGATAGTTAGAGTTTGAAGCTTTAGCTGCCTTTCATCTGCCTAAAATGTACATGCACAAAAACTTCCTGAAGAGTTTAACAAGTATAAATAATTACTGAACAGACTTCAGAGATACAATATTAAACATTGCAAAATTAGCGTTTCCTGTTTGTCATTGCATAATGTACTCTAATAATCAAACTTCCCTATTGATAGGATATTACCATGTTAAAAGATAAAACTTTTACACCATAAGGGCATATTTGTCCAAAAATTTGAAATGTACCTGTATAGATTTTTTTTTTTCATTCTACCTTATAACAAATTTTAGGCAAGATGCTCCAGGTGGATGGTCTTGTGCCTGCATGCAGCTCCATGGCCCCATGCTCATATTGAACCCCAGTTGCACTGCACAGGCCTCAATGAGGGCAGACCAAGGTGTGGGTGTGTTTTTTGTTCTTAGGAAACTAGGGATCCTTGTCAAAACTGTGGCTTTGGGACTTTTTCTAATAAAACTGTGATTCTACAATGTATAAATTGTAGAAAAAGATTTCTCATTCAGGCAACTGCCCCTACTTCTGAGTATTAGACCAAAGAATTCTCTATTATCTTAGTTCTGGTATGAACCGTACTGAAAAGCAATAATTACAGTACATATTATATATTGTGAAGTAACTTGGCCAAAACCTGTGTGTCCTTTAATTAAAAATCTTGTTTGACTACAGATATGTTGTAAATAGAAAGTTTGTCTTAATTTTCTTGGCAAAACTAGCACAATATTTGTTTACAAACCTTAATTTAGCTGACTGCATGAACAACACCAACCATATTTGTTTTAAACTTGGTCTTCTCCCCCGCCCTCCTTAAAATGTAGCTGAATGTAAACCTAAAATTGTGGGATTATGGTAGCATTGTTTTGGGACAGAAATGGACAAGGGCTGTAATAGGAGTCGTTTATAGTCCTAATTTTGTTGTTGTAGCACCCAAATGTTTTGAAAAAGTTATAAATAAATAAGGGGATTGCAGAGGGATACACCAGTGTAGCAATGAAATGATTTAGGCACAATGGTAATACTAATATTAAAGAATGTAAATATTATTAAAAGGAGAGGTCTGTGTTTCTCTTTCAAACTAAGTGTTAAGAACTGTGTAACCTGATCACTTTTTTTTTAAAGCCATACATCAGTATAGTGAAGGTTAAAAAACGTCTACTTGCCAGATTTTGAGGTTACCCTAGAGAATTACTCTTTCCTCATTTTAGAAGCAGAAGCCTGGTTGTATAGAATGAGTGATCCACGTTGTTCTTTTAGATCAGATATGGGTCTCAATGACAACCACATGATAGTTTACCATGTGGAGGTCTTGCCAGTTAGGACTTTTCTCTGTTTCCTGTTTGTCAATCCATCTCTAATCCAAGATGTGGTATTTTTATTTAATTGATATTTACTAGGGCTGTCAAGCGATTAAAAAAATTAATTGTGATTAATTGCGCGATTAAAAAAATTAATAGAATACTATTTATATGAACATTTTTGGATGTTTTTCACATTTTCAAATATATTGATTTCAATTACAACATAGAATACCAAATGTACAGTGCTCACTTTATAATAAAAATATAAATATTTGCACTGTAAAAATAAAAAATTGTATTTCAATTCACTGAATACAAGTACTGTAGTGCAATCTCTTTATCATGAAAGTTGAACTTACAAATGTAGAATTATGTACAAAAAATAATTGCATTCAAAAATAAAACAATGTAAAACTTTAGAGCCTACAAGTCCACTCAGTCCTACTTCTTGCTCAGACAGACAAGTTTGTTTACATTTGCAGGAGATAACGCTGTCCACTTCTTGTTTACAATGTCACCTGAATGTGAGAACAGGCGTTTGCATGAAACTGTTGTAGCCAGCGTTGCAAGATATTTACATGCCAGATGCACTAAAGGTGCTTCAACCATCATTCCAGAGGACATGCATCCATGCTGATGATGGGTTCTGCTTGATAACAATCTAAAGCAGAGCACACCAACACATTGTTCATTTTCATCATCTGAGTCAGATGCCACCAGTAGAAGGTCGATTTTCTTTTTTGGTGGTTCGGGTTCTGTAGTTTCCACATCGAAGTGTTGCTCTTTTAAAACTTCTGAAAGCATGCTTCACACCCAGTACTGATCAGATTTTTAGAAGTATCAGAGGGGTAGCCGTGTTAGTCTGAATCTGTAATCAGACTTGCATCTGAAGAAGTGAGGTTCTTACCCACGAAAGCTTATGCTCCCAATACTTCTGTTAGTCTCAAAGGTGCCACAGGACCCTCTGTTGCTTTTTACAGATTTTTAGAAGGCACTTCAGATTCTTAAATCTTGGGTCGAGAGCTGTAGCTATCTTTAGAAATCTCACCTTGGTACCTTCTTTGCATTTTGTCAAATTTGCAGTGAAAGTGTTCTTAAAACAAACAACATGCTGGATCATTATCCAAGACTGCTATAACATGAAATATATGGCAGAAGGTGGGTAAAACACAGAGGCAGGAGACATACAGTTCTCCCCCAAGGAGTTCAGTCACAAATTTAATTAACGCATTATTTTTTTTAACAAGCATCATCAGCATGGAAGCATGTCCTCTGGAATGGAGGCCAAAGCATAAAGGTGCATACGAATGCTTAGCATATCTGGCACGTAAATACCTTGCAATGCCAGCTACAACAGTGCATGCGAATGCCTGTTCCCACTTTCAGGTGACATTGTATATAAGAAGTGGGCAGCATTATCTCCCGTAATTGTAAACAAACTTGTTTCTCTTAGCAATTGGCTGAACAAGAAGTAGAACTGAGTGGACTTGTAGGCTCTAAAATTTTACATTGCACTCAAAAACAAAACAGTTCTGTAACAAAAACAAATCTACATTTTTTTTTGCACTTTCACGATGAAGAGATTGCGCTATGGTATTTGAGGTGAATTGAAAAATACTATTTCTCTCATCAATTTTACAGTGCAAATATTTGTCATAAAATAATATAAAGTGAGTACTGTACACCTTGTATTCTGTGTTGTAACTGAAATCAATATATTTAAAAATGTAGAAAAACATCCAAAATATTGAATAAATTCCAATTGGTATTCTATTTTTTAACAGTGAGATTAAAACTACGATTAATTGCGATTCATTTTTTTTAGTTAATCGCATGAGTTAACTGCGATTAATCAGCAGCCCTAGTATTTATCCATATACTTTATCATGATACAGTTTTTTAAATGATTAGCTGAAATACAAGTATACGTACCACCCTTTTTCTATTACTTAGTAAGTCTGTTATGTTTTACACAACTATATTAACAAACTCTTATTCTAGTGGTCATTAAACATTATCGTTCCAAACGTTCATATACTGACATACTCAAATATTTTTGTGATAAATATCTATGTGACAGACCAGTAATACCCAGCTCTTTCTTCCCACTCTTCTTACAGATACCATGTTTTCCCTCTCTCTCATTGAGTACTTATGGCTTCCATTAAGTATATGCTGTGAATATGTATTAAAAATAGTATATGCACAAAGACTAAGGGGGAGATTTGCAAAGGCACAAAGTGTAGTTTGATGCCCAGCCCCCATTGAGATTTAGTGAGAGTTGTGCTCCTTATTTCTATTTGTGTATTTGAAAATCTCTCCCGCCCCACCCCGGGGTTTTCAAAGTAATACTGAATTTATTTGAATAAGCATTAACTTGCATCAACACAGCTTGCTTATGCTAAGTATGAATACATACTGAATATACAGTATGAACTTTACTCTTCTCAGACAACTAGAGCAATTTTTTTTGGGGGGGGGGGGGGGGTAGTGGAACTTCCCCTAACTAGCAAGGAGGCTTCACGTGTGGGCTGGTCTAGCATCTGCTGCAACCTCAGACAACTTGTGTGGGATTGGATGTGCAAATTGGGCAGCCTGCCATGAACAGCCTATTCCTCCAGGAGCAGCCATGTTGTTACTCCTTGTTGTGCACCTCCACAGTGAGGTTTAGGATATCTAGAGAGGGTCTTGCATTACCCCCTGTCCATGTATGTCACTAAGACTTGGTGCATTAAGACTATACTGGGTGTGAAAGAATCTTGGACTCCCATGTTGGAATCTACAATATCCAATATATATTCAATAAACACTTAAAATAGTTACAGCTAACATTTTTCATATTATATAAACACTTGTGCATAGGGTTTTTTATTTGTTTTGTTTTTTAAGAGTATGTGACTCTTGGACTGATTATTTTTTCCACTGTTTAGATCCAACACTGCAGTCCTTCTAAAACAATAATGCAAGGATTAAATAACCTAGTTCAGTAGGTATGGTACAAAATAGAAACCTGAGCCCCTTTTATATGGTGCAAAGTTGATGCAGGGAGAGAAGACAGATTGTGTATGTATTGCCTCCTCTTCCGAAGTGTGTACTTCCTGAGCGATGGGGGAAAATTAATTCATTGTGTTTATAACTTAAATCTTAATATACAGATACAAAACATAACGATTGGTGGAAAATACATAGATTTAAACTAGTGCTGTATCCCTCTCAGCGGTCAGGCTCTGTCTGCTGCCACCTTCCTTACCCCTGATGAATCATTTCTTACATTCCTTTACCAAGTAGTTGTCTTCAGGCAGAAACTTCCCATACGGCCTCATTTTGTTCTAGCTGAGAGGTAAAAAGTAACCAACACATATGGCAAAAAGTACATTGCAATTGTAATCTATTTCGGTTTATGTATTTGAATGTTTACAAAAAAAATATTTCCCTACATTTAAAAAAATTGTTTTAACCCAGCAATGCCTCATTAAAGAAAGCTAAAACCAAACAAAAAAGGAGACAA